TCAGTGCAGACCAGGAGTGCATGTACAAAGCAAACTTGATCATTGTACCTACTGTCTGCATATCATGAAACAGTCCTAGAGTGGATGAACAGGATCCCTTTGGGATAGAATAGACCTGTAAGATGTGATACCAGGAGCACAAACACCACGCTTCAACACAAACAGGCACTGAGTCCATGCATCCAGCCTGGAATTAGTTCAACAACAACAACAAAAAAATCTCTGAAATGCAAACAGTATAGACACCAATTCCTCAGCACCAAACATTGCATTCTACAGACACAACCCTACTAAGTCAGATCCTACTACTTGACACAGTAGCTCCTCTGTTCCAGCGTTCCTGAAAGAAGTCTATTAGCCCAATACATCCACCTCATCTAGAGAGGTTGTGGCTTCCCACAGCCAAAGAAATCCAACTTCTTGGTTTTCTTGCCTTGCACTTTCTTGGAGTTGCTAACATAGCAACACTCAGAGGCTGTCAGACCAAAATCAGGTTTTGTACACACAGTTATGACTTTGTGCTGCAGCATCATCTAACAAATGCATCGTCTTGCAATGACAGGGATATAACACTTAGTTAACAGTAAAGCCACACAAACAGATTAGAGCCTGCTTCAAAATAAATATCATGCCACAAGGAAGGCATAAGCCAATACTGAGGAAAATATCTCTTTCAACATTTTTCTGGGGTTATATGTTTATTTAGTGTTGGCTAGCAAGTCCCACTCATGTTAATTCTCCCTCAGGAATCTGAGGTGTCAGGGTCTCTTTTGCTGCCTCAGAGGTACTCAGGGAAACTTTCTCTGTTTGCCTCCATACACTGCACAGGCCTAGCAGAACTTTTAATATCCATTCCCTTATCTGATTACCAGTGGAACCCAAAGCCTTATTCAGACATTCCTTGGTCCTAATTGACACATGACACACTGCTCCATGCAGGTCAATTCCGGCCACACGGCTCATGCATTTTAACACATCTTCACAAACAACATTTCCTAATAATTTCTTGATTGGACCCCCTGTATCCAAGAACTGTACCACAAAGTTTCAAAAGACATTCAGAGGCCAGTAGTGCCTTCCTTGCTGCAAGCACAAAAGACTGGTCATTCCCCTGAAGCCATATTAACAAGTTATAATCAAAAGCATATTTTGGGAAGGAGATCCATAGATTCAACTGATGCCAAGTTGATTCATCCAGAGAGTATCATATTTATGAAGGTATCAGCAACTGAAAGCTGTAAAAGACGATAAAATTAACTTGACCACTTTCTTTGTCTACTATACAAGATGGTAGCTCCTCAGATCTTCCTACAATTTTTCTAAGAAGTTGACATCAGATTTGTATGTTCACATTCTCAGGTAACAGGGTCATCATATTACTGAGTCTGCATAGCCTCTGGTTTAATTGTGCTGCTTTAACTGAGTTTTTAGATGAACACTATTTGGTCCTGATCCCCTTGTCAATTTGAAATTGGCTATATTGAAGTGATTACTGAAATGATTATTACATCTGACCTGTCAAGAGTTTATGGTTCTATTTTCTTCAGTAACCACCTGAAGAAAAGCATAGGGAAATGTAACCTTTTTCTCAAGCCAAAGGTTATCTTATCTGCCCATTCTGCTAGGTTAAACTTCTTGAGAACAGGGAAGGTAGAGCAATTCCCACATCATTCAGAACAGCAATAGTAACAACATAACAATGCAACACTTTTTCTTATGCTATGTTACTATTAGGCCAGATAAAAAACCCAAATGGATAGATTGTGTCCTTGTACAAAAATCAGATATTTCTTAATCTAGGTGCTCAGACCTAACACTTGGGCATTGGACAAGATCGGCCCTTTCAACCTCGACCGTTCTGTGAGCATTTGTAGATTCCTCAGCCAACTCCTCCTTGAAGTCACCACTACAGTCAGTTATTTAACAGCCAAGACAGTCACAATCTTACTCTTCCTTTGTCATTCCACATGCACAATCACAGCAAAAATCGCTTCCATTACATCATCATGTATCTCTGCCATTGATCTCAGAAAATACTGCAGCAGCTCCAGCCTAACACCCTAGCAGAGCTGGATGAATTACTTGACAATGCCAGGAGGCTTTCATAAGGCCCTTGAAATGACAAAACACAAACCCCATACTGTTGCAGCCATAGAGCAGAAATGAAACCAAAAATCATAATTTCTCTCCAATCTGAGTGAAAAATCCATCAGACAGAGGCTTCATCAAAGCAAGCTTGAGAGCTACAGGACTTCCCACAATGCCTTCTGCACTTTGTGAGTTGAGGTCAATATCAGCTTCTGACATTGCGTATGAGTTCAACAAGCAGTCAGTGCCACAACTCTCACATCAAAACCTAAGCTGCTTCAATGCCTTAAGGAAGCACTGAGTCATTCCCTGTATTTTTTTCAAAACACAAGATGACACATTTAGAAAAAATCTGGCAGCCCTGTGTTTGCTAACAAACACAGTTGAGCATCCGTGTTTCAGACGTAGAAGTTACATCCTGCATAAAGAAGCAGCACTCCCTTCCCCCAGAAGTACATGAAGGAAGAAGGAATTATGAGGACATGATACAAGGGAATGAAATAGGAACAGGTGGGGGATGGGACAAGCAAGCTTTAATGAATGGAGGATAATTAAACAGTTCAAAGGCGTGGCCACAAAGGCTATTGTCACACACACTGTCTCTCTTGTACTAAAATGCCAAGAAAACCACCTAAGCACAGGGAATAAAATCACTGGCACCAGAACTACAAAAAGTGCATTCTAGTCAAAAGCATTCCAGCCGAAACAATAATGACATAAACCATAATATTAACAAATAGCAGAAAATCTGAAGAAACATGCAAACAGCACATTGAAACATTATGGTAAAAGGCCCATAACCATATGGTTAACACACGTAAGGCAGGATAGAGCACACCTGAGATTTGGGCACTTCCCTCAACCCCATCACAAGACCAGTTACCCTTCTCATGGAAACTCAAACAGCTGCAGCTGCCTAGAGAGCCACTGCAAATCAAAATCCCGCTCCAGGATCTTGTTGGAAGTTTCAGGTATATCTGGAGAAGCAAGCAGCAGGAACAAGGATACAGAGTGAAAGAACCTCTACGCTTACATAGCATCTTCCAATGCTTACAAATTCCTCAACACTGTGTCCTGCATTACAGGACTCACAGGTCTATTCCACTGCATGTGCAAAGCATCCCACGTTACGTACACTTCCAGGCTATAATGACATTATGAGTGACTACTGTATACTTTTAACAAACAAAGCTTTATTTCATTTGTGTTGGACTTCCACCACCTTTTTTCTTGCTTGCACTTTACAAGTCATATAAGTTCTCCTTTATGATTAGAAGTGTGAACTAGCAGAATATTTGCTTGCTAAAATTAATATATTTTGCTAAACACACAACACAAGGTACAGATTTGGCCCTAGAAAACAGGATTGTGGAAGATGTTAAGAAAGAGTTGCATACCAGATCTGAACATCACTAACTGGAACACACAAAGTTTTGGGTCCCTCCATTATCTAACACTAAAATTGTCTTTGAGAAATTAACATCTAGATTTTTACACTCGTGAAAGTGAAACTTGGGTAGCAGTGTTTGCTGTGCTCCATATATATATGATGGTATATACAGTATTCCATAGTATTTAACACTGGTGCTTAAGAAGGAGTAAAGGAAAAAAAGAGATGAAACCGAGTCAGGATCCCTCAACTATCATTAACAACCACAGCCAGTAGTTTCCAAAACCAGACCCTTAGATATTGCAGACACCTTCCCTCTCTCTATAGAGACAGCCCTAATGAAAAGCACCTGAAAATACAGCCATTATTCTCAAAAACTACAAGAACTACATTAGAATAAACTTCAAGGTTGTCAGGGAAGGAATTCGAATAGAAAGATCACTCACCAGAATGCAGCACTGAAGAGAATGTACTAGGCGTACAGAATGTACTAGGAGACAATGAAAAGATGTCTTTTGGGGACTCTGGGTGAAGTAACAGATTACAGAAAATGGTATATTTCATTATTGAGGAGAGGAACACTGACTGGAATAAAAAGTAAAAAAAATTAAGATGCAGGAGGAGATATTAAGCAAGGTCACACAATGAGACCTTCTAGAGAGAAGGCATCATGCAGGAGCCAGGACAAGTGATACAAGTAAAACATGCCAAGTGTCAGCAAAACTAGCAAGTGCATCTAAAATATACACAAGAACCACGGGATAAAAGTGTTTCTAACAGGAGTTCCTGTCTTGACTACACTGACATGAAAATTCGCCGAAGGTGTGTAATAAATAGTTTAGGATAATCTTAGGTGTTAGTTATCAAAGAGTGGTGAAAGCCATGCACAATAATCAAGATACATGGCAAGTAAATAAATGTAACAATCTACAAGCCACTACCATAGCAAAGGATCACATTCTACCACATGGCACCCGTGAGAGAAAACATGAGCCACACCACCTGGCAATGCACAATCTGAAGAAGGTAAGAAACCAGCAGCTATACAGAATGAGGGAAAAGTGAAAAACAGCCATACTGACAATATGTATGGGAAGTGGAAGAAGCCCAGAAGCTACTTCTGTCTGTCTGTAGATGTATTTGGAGAAAAAGAGATACATTCAGAAGAGCAACAGGCAGTAGAAAACACAAAGGTACAGCTGGAGAGGGAGCACTGATTTATGGTGGGGCCAGAAGGATAAGAAACAGAGCAGTACCTGAAAGAGAGCAGAGCCCCCGCGGTGGGAGGGAAGAGACTGGGAAGCGACAGAAGCGCTGCCCCGAGCCTCGGGAGCCGGGGCTGGGGGCCCCGGGCAGGGTGCGGGTGGCAGCGCCAGGCGGGCAGGCGAGGGGCCGGCGGCGCACCCGGGGCTCAGGGGGAGCCGGGCAGCCGTGCCGGGGATCGCGGCGGCGGTGACCGGCGGGAGCCGCGGAACGGGCCAGGGCAGGGGGCGGCGGGGGGCGGGCTCTGTCCCTCGCTCACCTGCTGAACCCCCAGAAAGTCGTAGAAGTTCCGCGGCACCTCTTCCACCAGGTCGAAGAGCTCCAGGTCGCCGCTGTCCCAGGCGCGGGCGCGGGGCGCCAGCAGCGCCAGCAGCGCGAGGAGCGGCAGCAGCCGCGGGCGCGGTGCGGGCCGCGTGCGGGCCATGATGCCGCCGGCGGTTTCGGCACCGCAGCGGTGCCGGAGTGGGGACTCGCCCAGGACGCTGCGCGCAGGCCGCGCTCGCCGCGGCAGCCGCTCCGCACTGAGGGGACGCGCCAGGCCCGGCCCGGCCCCGGCAGCGGCGGCTCCGCGGGGGGGGGGAGGGGGCTCCCCTCGCAGCCAATCGCCGCCTCCGCTGGCCGTGACGTCACGCAGCCCGGCAACCGCCGGCGCTCGCGCAGTGGAGGGGCCGCGGGGGGAGGGGGAAGGGCGCCCCGGGCACGAGCCCTGTGCGCGCGGACGCCCCGCCCTCCCCCCCCGCGCGCCGCGCCGCTTGCCGGCCCTTCCCCCCCCCGCGCCCTTCCAGCCGGGAGAGCCGGGGGGGAATGTCGGGAGAGCCGGGGGGGAATGTCGGGAGAGCCGGCAGGCATCGGGAGAGCCGAGCTAGGCCCGGCCCGGTGCTCACTGCGGGCGGAGAGCGCCCGGCACCGAGCGGCGCCCGTGGAAGCCCGGTGCCCGTGGAGCTGCGGGGACCCCGCGCTCCAAATCGTGTCTCTGTTTTTTGTCCTTTATTAACTCCCGAGGTGTGGATTTGATTATTGTAACCTGTTCTACCCTAAAATCGCTCCAGCGTATTGTCGGTATCAACCCGATTTTTCAGCTGGTTTTCCCTGGACCTTTCGTTCTTTCCTCGCTTAAATGAATATGAAATGTTTCACGTTGAGCGTTAGATGAGAAATTAGATGGGAACTTAATGGATGAACAATACAAATTATCAGCATTAAGTCACTTTTCTCTGGCACGGTAAGGCTCCTTGGCACACCCCATCTGTTTTGTCTCTCTCTTAGCTAGGCCTGGTTAGTAACTCACTATGGGAATCTTCTAAGAAAAGATGGATTCGCTCATCCCAAAAATATCCATGAACTAAGTCGAGTTCAGAAAGTAGTTTTTGCAATTAAAAAAAAAATCTCAAATGCCAATCTTGTCTGTGCCTGAATTCACCTAAGAGGAGCTGGGCACCATTTGCAGAATCACTGTACAGTAGAGCACTGCCTTGGATACTCCATGGGAATAGCAAGATGTGGCTTTGAAATACACTGATTAATTCAGAGTAAGGACTAGAACCAACATAACCATTATCAATTTTCCAACTCATAAAGTATAGAGTAGTCTTAGATATTCTCTTCTATTGAAACTGTTCCCTTTTGTATAAACTATTTAAATATTAATTAGATTGATATTTAAACTCATGTTTCCATATCCCATATGCATGCCCACTGGGCTTTTAGGATCACAATTCTGCCTCCGGCTCTGCTTTCTGAAAAGACACCTAAACCCATTTGCCAGGAAATATAATTTAGCCAACAGTGTCTTATGTAGACCCCTTTTAATTCACCCTTCTTAAAAAGGAGCACCTAACTGTTAATTCTGATCATCTTAAAAAATGTTCCTCCCACTTGAACATAAGGGCGAAAAAATAATCCTTTTCTAGAGAATGACAGAGTACAGAGAAAGTCATGGTCTAGTTAATTTATCATCTGCTTTGTTTGGCTGTAGTAAGTGAACCTGCTATAGATCAGTTTCTTCCCACATCCTTATTTTCTTAACATGTTCTGTTTTGCACACCAGTATCCAGAGCATAAATTTGTTGACTGGTATATTTACATTCTCCTTGCATTCAAGCCTCAGGCTTTATTGCAGAAAAATACCAGCTTTGGATTCAAACAGTTACCTACTCATTAGGTTGTAGAACAAAGTTTAAAGATGCAAAGTACCCTCAGAAACCCTCAGGGGCATATGAAGAGTTCAATAAAGTAGTGGTATTTTTAAACCAGGTGAAAGAATTTTTAAAATGTGAGATTAACCCTAACTTCATTCCTCTTAATAAATGTTTCCAAATTCTCCTTTCCTTCTGACTAATTCTGTATTTTCCATATCTACTTCCCCTTGCTTCATTATCTTATAAGCCTCCTTAGTTAAGCTAATCTAATGCAATGATCAACCTTCAAGAGAAACATTTGTTATTTTTCACCTTGATCTTATTTTTCACCATTTGGAATTTGTTATGAAAAATGACCCCTTTCAAAATCCACCTCTGGCTGCTCTTGCTGAAACTGTTAAAATAGCCTTCAAAAAACCTGATAAAAGCAGGGCACCTATTCCATTCCCCTGAGACTAGGAACAACTGTCCACCAATTGCAGGTGGCTTGTGGCATCAATCCTTCTGAGAACACAGCAGATGATAGCCATTTTGAAAGAAATTCCTCTGAATTCTTCAGATAAATTACGGTTTCTTTCAGTCAAGAGGAATGAGAAGTTAGAAAGAATAATAGGAGAAAAAAATGCAGTAATAATAACAGGATTATGATTATTTAAAACACATATTTAAGATATTTCTTACATTTAAGTAAGCATAGTTAAATTATCCCAACTGGTTTTAAAAAGGGGAGAAATTTAAATACTTATTTTTATTTCGCTCCTTAAATCATTAGTACAGAAGGCCTAATACTGCATAGAACAATTCTAAAAAGGATTTTTAAAAATTTCTAGACTATGAGATTAGTTTAAATGTTTCCATTAAATTTGTTCTGTACTCCAAGCATAAATACTGAAATTTTGTGAAGAAAATGCTAAAAATGCTATTAAAAAGCTGTAAGCACCACCATAATAATGACATATTATTATCTTTTCATTCTTCTGTTTTCTTCTTCATGATGGTGAGTCATTAGAGTCCTTCCCCCTTCTCCAACACTTCAATTAATCCAAGTTACACTAGGCTTCCCCAACATAAAATAGTTAAATTATAAGTCAGTTCTCTCTCCTGGCTTCAGAGAAAGACTTAAAATATAAAACAAACGTAATCAAATTCAGCAGTGCTTGGCTTTGCTATGAGCCTGCAACAATACAGGTGAGAAATTCCCAGTGACAAGTGCAATGGCTGGTGAATTGGGTGACCAGTGAGGACAACTTAAATCTCAGTACTTGGCACAAAGGTAGAGGGGGAGGTAGAGGATTACACATGGCTTTTTCATCACTGTCTAAAACTACTCCTGTTGGGAGGTATTAGTATTTTTTTTTCCTGTGGCTCAGACATGACATTTAAATGGCTAGAGGATCAGAGAAATGTTTTAAATCCTGTATGTAGTCCCTGCAGCTGGGACAGCTCCTTTAATTTAAGAATATGAAGAACTATGAAGGCAGGGATGGCATTTTCCTTCTGTGCTCCAAGTTCGTCTGCACACGCAGGCAGGTGTCACTGAAATCAGGTCCACTTGGCCACGCAGCTCTACTTTACAAACCGTAAGGGAAAGAAGCATATACAGAAATAATTTGTTTAAATAAATCTCTGTTCTGACGCTAATTGACAGTAGCACCCAAGGCCCGAGGCATGAACCAGTTATTATTAGCGTTTTTAACAGCACTGAAAGACCAACATGCTTCATAAGCCCAGCAGGATTCACACGATCATATTCTGAATAGCTAAACAGCCTGCGATTTCGGTGTCTCAAATGAATAGCAGACGTCTAGGGGAAAGAGCTTATTAAGGGACTACCCCCTTTCTTCCGAAAGATAAAGCCTTATCTCGAGCAATTCAAGAGCCTGACTGCTCTGCAGTCTATTCCAGTTTTCTATTCCGGCAGTGTAGTTTAGGTGCTCGGCATGGGTTTGTACAGTAACAGTAGTTCTCTCTCCTAACAAAGCTGGCTTAAGAGTTTCCTGCGCCCTCCCCCCAGCCCAGGCGTTCGTTCCCACCTCTGAGCCACTGTTCTCTGCCTCCTCAGCTGTGCTAATTCGACTCTTTGTGGGCCACATTATAAATCAAATGACTGAAATGATCCAGGTTGGGGTTTTTTTGTTTGTTTTGGCTTTTTCTTTCCTTTTTTTTTTTTTTTTTTTTTTTTTTTTTTTTTTTTTTAAGGCTACTTGCACACGCACAGAAAAACTCAGATGTGTTTCACTGAGCCAAGTTACATCACAACCCACAAACAGCTGCACTCGCACAGACCAGGGGACAGCGAACCCCGATGAGGGAGCAAGAACAAGAGGGCAGAGCAGGCAGGAAACTGGCCGATTTAAACTGGCTTTCCCACTGGAAAAAAAAAAACCCTTTGTATAACTACACCCGGAGAGCTGAAGGAAAGCTGTTTCCCAAGCAGTGCGAGGCTGAGCAGAGCGGAGGGAGGAATTGTTTCACAGCTGGCAGGAACGTTTGAAGACTCGCACCGGAAGAGAAGGTTCTCCTGCCAAAGCGGCGAGGAAGCAGTAACCTTGCTCCGAGGAGTCCTGTAGTGCTCCATCTCGATAGGCAAGTGGTCTGGTTATTGCCGTTTTAAGGGATTTTTTCTAAAGTCAGATCATCTTGCAAATGCAGTTTAGCGTTTAGCCACGCAAACAGACGAGTGGAGTGGAGCTCGGGGGAAGGTAACATCCAGCGTGGCAATGGGAAAAGAAGGGGGGCAGGACCACTTTATAGCAACCCTGCCCACTGGAAGATTTGTAAGGAATACGCCGTTTGTGTAGATCAGCTCTTACCTTAGGCCAGACATAAGTCAAAGTAATGTGAAAGAGATGTGGAAATGGAAAAAGAAGCAAAAGCAACAGAACTAAAAACAGAAAGCTATTACAGTCCATCAGACATGAAAGAATATTATTTAGGAAATAGCTCATTCGTGCCTGGTCTGGCCAGCTCACTGGTCTCCTTTAGCTACATTACTCCTTTTTGTTCCCCGTTTTTTTCATGTTACATCGTTAGTGCCAAAACCCAAACAATCCCTGCCTGCTGAGCATGCCATACCCTTGATGCTGTTTTCCAAACTGAAAAAACTACCTGAAGCCACATTACTATCATACAAGATGACTCACAGACTGTAGCATAGGAAAAGAGGGTTCATTTTAAGAATATCAGCCATATCCTACTAGTATAAAGCTAGCGTATGAAAGCCCTAATAAATGGTCTTTCTCCAGCATAAACGTATAGTGTTTTGCTACATGGCATGACAATAGACTGTCATTAAATTTCAATATGTATTTACCTGAAGAACATCAACATGGGGAAGCATTGTCTTAGGCAGACATTTTGGAGGTACAAGAATTGAAAGACAAAACAAAATCAGTGATTAGAAGGCTTATGCCATCTTTTTAAACAACATATTCT